CATTGTTGTTGACTTCAAGATTAAATCTTAGAAGTAACAATGATCTGACTGGAACCTGAGTGCTGTTTTCCTTGAGAAACCCTTGTGTCCATTTTTTTTTCCAGGTATTGGCACCTATAAAAAGTGAGAAAGTAATCAGAGGAGGAAGTTCTGGGTTTTTTAACTTGTCTACAATTAGGAAGTGAAAAAGTGTTCTCACTGTCTTCTTGTGTTTATCTCTGGGTTTTCTAATTCTTCTAATTCTTCTTGCTGTCATAACACTTCTAATAGTTAGATGGGGTTATTTTGCAATCTGAGGTAGCTATGCCGCAGTCAATTAAAAGTAAAATATTTGTAAATTGTGTAGTCCGTCATTTGTGTGATATTTTAAGTAGTAGACTTTTTCCCAGAAAGGATTTTGAAATCTGAATCTGAGTGAATTTCCAAAGAGTTGGTAATTCTGTCAGAGTTGGAAGGCTGAAGACTGTAAATTTTCATTTGTTAAATGGCTCTCTTAACCAATGGCAAAGGAATAGGCTGAAAGTTAAAGGCAGTGGTTCATTGAACTCCATGGGAGACTGCATTAAAGCAAGTTTCTAGTGTTACTGAGCTGTCTAGCTGACTTTTCTTTCCCCTCTTTTAGCAGTGGAGAGTGTTTTCCATTCAGGCACAGTTGCTAACTGAAGAATCCCTACACCCTTTGTTCATCATTAAGTAGGAACAGAAAAGCAATAGCAAAACTTCCTTACCTGTTGCACATGTCAGGACACATTTGTGTATGGAGAGGTATGATGGCTTTTTGTGAGTCTTAGTGGCAGTGAAAATATTTTGTTCCATTAGTTGATGTTGGAAATAGAAGAGCCTTGTAAAATACCGTGTGTCTTTTAAATACAATATATATTAAAATACTGTGTATTTTGGTATGATAGCATCAAAATACTGTGTTGCAATATTCTCACTGTTGAGTGTTCTGCTGGAAGTTAATAAACATATGACTGGATTTGAACCTCTGGAGAGGAGGCGGTGCTTGGCTGGTAAGATGAGCAGTACTTGTCCAAAGGAACCCCAAGAGAGGCAAATTTTCCTTACCTACTTAGCCTGAGGACCTGGTAGGTCTCCTGTGCTAAACAGGTTAAATTCATGGCAGATCTACAATGAAGAATTGAAGAAGTGCCATTGCTAGTTCAGTGCAAAGCACTCTCTGGTAAGTCTGCTTGGACTGACAGCCCAGCTTGTTTCCAAGCACTGTTTAGCAGGTAGTTTCTCTCAAGTGTGGCACCTAGCAGACCAACCCAGACCTTCTTTTTGGTGGTTTGTGAGAAACAGCATAGTTAACATCAAAAACAGCATTTTATGTTGTGCACACAAGTATGAAGCAATGTGTGAGACTCAGCTGATGCTGTCCATGCACAAATGTGATTCCTATGTGATTCCTCACCAGGAAGTCACAGTGCTGTTTGGCACCAGATCTCCTTTGTCTGCCTGGGTGTTCTCTCCATATTGGACACAAGTTTAACCATTCCCTCAAACACCTATTTGCAACTCTCTGAATATGTTTAACCATTTCAAAAGATAGCAGAAAGTAATGTAAGCATGTTTTTCAGATTCATGAAGGAGACTTTGGGGAAAAATTAAAATTTCTTTAAATGTGCCTCTGGAGTCATGGGATGCCAGTATTCGGGGCTTCAAGTTGAATGCCTGTAAAGATGGTGACTGCTGAAAATGTATCGTCTCATTTAAATGGTACTTTTCACTGCCAAAATATTCGTGACCAAAGTTTTACTCATGGAAAAATAAAACTTGGCACTTTCCAGTAAGGGCATATGGTTGAAGTTTTGAAGATGTATCTATTCAGAGGAGTTTGCTGAAGCTGGATGCCTGTTTTTTCATAATTGTATCAGAGAACAAGCTCTTTCCTTTTGTTAGTGACCCGCAGCATGTTTGAGTTAGTGGGAGTTTGGAGTACTCTGCACACTCTCAAAGTGAGGTTCAAACTGTATTATTGGAGTTGCACAAAGATACATGAAAATGCATATATATGTGTGTGTATAAATATGATAATAGGGATACCTGTACCTGATGAAATAATTTTGCAGTAGGTGAGACTGCAGAAGTCTGACAGGGAATGTGATGCCGAGGCTTAGCTAACAGCCTCGTCTTGTGGCTGAATTCTTCTTATGGGAGAGCTGCATCTATGTTGGTTCTGCAAGGCTGGAAAAGTAGGGAATAATTTTCAACTAATTCCAAAATAAACATTCTGTATATACATATGGCTTCATATGAGGAGGTGCACTTATTCAAGATAGTACTTAGATATGTATTTAAGCAAATGTGTAGCTGTCAGTGAAGTCACAGAACTCAGAATATGCTTAATTTCCATCCTCAGAACAAGTCAGAGAGGGACATTTACTTGGGTAGGACTTTGCTTTTTTAAACTGATTTTTTTTTAACAGTATAGCAGGGAATCTAAGATATTAGTATTAAATAGTTACTGAAGAATATATCTGAAATGGAAATCTAAGTTCAGAGGCATAGCTTGAGTTAAGCGTAAAAGATGAAGAAGACTTTCAGTTTTGCAGCTAACAGTGCTGTGGAGTTCCTGGTTAAGGAGGAATCTGGAAGAGTTAAAAAAAAAAGCAGTTGCCTTCTTGTTCATTTTTCTTTTGATTTTTTTTTTTTTTTTTGAAGCCTTCAAAGTTAGTTTCCTTTGAAGGAAAGCAATATGAAATATAATGTGCTTAGGTATTTTTTTCTATTAAAAACATTCCTTAATCATGGTAACGTTTCTTTAAAATGTGGTGCATAAATAATAAAATACGTGATGGCACAGCACAAAGATTATCTTGGCACGAGTCTGGGGTGACTGAATCACTTAGAGAGCTTGATACTTGTTAATAATGTGATCATTGCAAAGTGTGCCAATGAAAACTTCATACCTCACCAGTACATGTGAGTATAAGTTTGTTAGTGTGCTCTATTTTAGCACATTTTCTAGTGCTGGATACTATGGATATGTGTGTCTGTGGCTTTTGTGACACAGTGGAAACAAAGTGAGAATGGTTTCAAGAAGGAAAGGTCTCACATCCTTCCTTATCCCTACTGACTCTTGGCTGCCTGCTCCTTTCATTTGCCTTGAACTGGTTTTGATGCCCATTCGATCACAAGCATGAACTAGCTCACTAAAATGGAAGAGAAGTATCTCCTAGCAAGAAAAAAGGAAAAATGACTTTTCTTTTCCTTTGTTAATAAATTGAATTATCCCACCTTGTAATCTTATGAGCAAGTCAGCCATCAGTGGCATCAAGGAATTTTGTTTACCAGACCCTTTGCTATCTGCTTTTGGGTGCTTATAGTTGCACACAGCAGCTCTAGGGGAAACAGCAGAGTGCTGTAATGTGTTTCTCGTGTGTTTGCTGTTAGCAGTATTGCAAGTTGTACCTTAGCTGAGGTGTGTGACCAAGTAAGGCTGTTATCTACCATGTCCATGTTCACTGCAGTGATCATAAATGCCCAGTCCCAAAAGGTGCATCCTGTGGTTAAGCTGTGCAGATTGATCACAGCTAGCTCAAGCTTGTTCAGAGCTTGTAGTCAATAGCAGATGAATATGAGGGGCATCCCTATGGAGTTCTGAAGGTCTTGAACTCCTGTTGAGTAAGTGAAAATTTGACTTGCACACTTCTCAATTTAATGCTGTTGATGCAGTCCATAAAGCTCTCAGGCACCATCATGCCTGTTTGCAAGTACAGAGCTGGGTGGGCAAGCATGAGCAGTGAGGTGGAGTCTTGTAAAGGTCACATACTCCATCATACTGCTGTCACCTCGTGTCATGCTGCCTGAAGAAGACACAATACCCTGCAGCACCACCACAGTTACAATTCATTGGTCCGACACAGCTTGTGTGGGGTCTCACAATGGGAAAAGAAAGGGGAGAGTGTGTCATATCTTACTGCTGAAAGTGCTAGAAAGCAGGAAGAAGCCATGATCAGAGGGAGGAACAAGCAGTGGAGGGAAGGCAGAGAAATTCCTCTTCCTTTTAGCAATGGTAATCTGCTAACTTATTCCAGTAAATTCCAGCGAAACTGCATTCAACAAAGTATAGAATTCCTTTCTCCCTTTCTCCTGTGTCAAATACAGCTGAAGACAGGCCATTAATTTGAAAGAGTTTGTTTGGAGTTTGTCTGCTCTCAGTAGAAGAATCATTTTGGTTCTTTAAAAAAAAAAAATGAGGTTTATGTCAGTCAGCGAAGTGGAGAACCAACTGTTATTGCAAAAAGTGTAGCTGCTTAGAGATCCAAAGCATTGCAAGATAACTGTGGCTATAGCTATGTTCTTCTCTGTGTATTTGCACTGTTTCCTTAGTATTCTCTGTTACTAAAGACCAGTATGTGGTCAAAGGTGCAAGAAATTGTTCATGTCTTGTAGGCATGACTATTGCTCATGCTGTCAGAGGAGAGCACTGTGGGTACTATAGTTTTGTCTATCAGAATCTTGTGATCCTGTAAAACACTAAAAAATCCCCTTTTGTAAAGATAGCCCTGTAACATTTAGTACTTTTGTGCTTCAGATCAACGGGGGTGTACCCCTACCCCACTTTCCTCCATGGCACTATTTCAGCCAAAAAAAAAGTGTCAGATGTGTGGAAATTACTTGGAAAATACATTTCCTATTTGTCTATGAAGAAAATGGTGGGTTTTTGTAAGGAGCATCAAAAAGTTCATGGAATATGTGCAAAAGATGAAGCTCTTCAGAGCAGCAGTTTCATTTAAGGCACCTGTATGTATCAACATACTGTTGTTCAATATTTCATCTTTTTAACAATATCCCTTTTCCTCCACTTCTTGCAATTGGCTCATTCAGTTTCTGCAGGTAGTTCAGAATGTTCTGAGGATTGACTTTGCTGAAAATCAGAATAGAGGCTCATCTCAATGCTGTGCCTGGAGGATTCCAGCCCTGGGCTTCTCTCTGCCTTCCAGTAGCTACAAAAATTCATTTCCCATCCCCCTCTCCTTGTCTGTTTGCAGGTTATCTTGACGAATCAGATTACCACATCACTGAGCAGTGGCCCTGGGGTCTGGGCAGACCTGGTGTCTCCAGCTGATGATTTGTCCCTGTCTGAAGGTAAGAAATCCCTTCTATCAGAACTGAAACTCTACACAGACACAAATCCACACTGTAACTTGAAGTCTTCTGTTGAAATACAGGGGGCTGAGAGAGAGTCAGTTTATCACGTCTAACCTAACACAGTCTTGAAACAAAATTATTTTCCAATTTCTCTGAAAATACATTTATAATTAAAAAGAAAGTATGTGGAGTTGCTAAAAGGATCAGACACTTCCTAAAGGCTGAGAATGTATTTTTGAGCCATGTCAGTTTCTCAGCATTGTACTATCACTCACATGCATTTAAAGCATTATTTTGTCAGTCTTCTAAAGTTGCTACAAGAGGAAATACACAGGCTAGTCTGCAATTTTCATCTTATCTAATGGTTATTGTAGATTCCAAGGAGAAACGACTGCTCACAAAGGAAGGAAAGCAGATCCTCAGTCCTGTTCCTTGAGTTGCACTTGTTTGGTTTTCAAGTACAATGCTTCAAACTGCATCTCTCTGTATGTAATATGGGGATTTTTTGTGATGCCATATATTGCTTCACATCTTCGTGCTTCTGTTTTCTGTGCAGGATTAGAGAAAAGCACTTTTTTGAGTAACACTGAGGACTTGGTGTGCTAAGAAGAAAAGATAATTCTGAATCAAAGTTTACAAAGTTACAAAGTAATATATAATTTCAGTTTTCCCTACTTGCAAAGAATAGTCAGAGTATCCTTGTGAGGGACAGAGAGAGAAAAATTATTTAGTGTTCAGTTCATGCATAGACCCACATGTGATGCAAAGCAATGCTCATCTTTCTTGCAAAGGCATGATAATTGCATGTAGACTTTCCACTTCATGTAAGATGGGTATTTCCCCTTTTTATCTCCTTGCTGCACTTTCTGGTGTTTTCTGATTAGCTTCTCTGTGTTCTGGTTGATCACACATGGGTGTCTCAAGCTTGTCTGACTTTACACAAGTACAGCTCAATGGCAAAAGTAAAACTAAGCAGTGGTTAAAACTGACATTATTTCTCATTTCAGTGGACAAGGGAAAGAGGTTGAAGGTAGATTTAAACAGAATGTCAGGAAATAACTTCAGTGCAATGACTTAACACTGATTGATGTGTTTACTTCATAATTTTGTCAACAGGAGTCTGGCAAACTATGGCCCATTAAATAATTTTGGAATTGTGCTTGTGGCTTTTATTGGTTCCACCTATTGCCAAAGTATCTCTGAAGTACATGGCTCAAATACTGCTCCCTACCTCTGACAGAAAGATTTGAAATATGGTAACTAGATTTGGAAGATAAAGGCATAACTTTTTACCATTATAATTTGCTTCTTGTCACAAAGTTGTTGTGCCTTGTCTTATTAAATTGTTTTGATCACAGTGCTTGTGCTTCTCCTTGTCTGTTAGAATTGCTGTGGATGAGCTTTCTCTGGAAAGAAAGGCACAGCTGACTCTGATGTGGGAGTAATGACAAAATAGTTTTCAGTAAAACATATGTTTGTCCTGTGGCTAAAATATTTGAAGATACTTAGGAAAAACACATGGAATAGTTGAAATGTTTCTGAATTTCCCAGCACATATGAAAAATTCTCAGTGCTGTATATGAGCTGTAGTTCCAGAATATTCTAGAATCAGGGCTATGCAAGAGACAGCATTAATGATTTTTCTAGCAGTTACAGGTTTTTAATGAATCTGTCATGTTGTGCCTAAACTACCACCACTGCTTTTCCCCTTTTAGCTTAAGAATGAGTTAAAAGATATTGGTGCTCTGTGTTTTATTCCTTTATTGCTCTCATTCCTTGTTTTTAATTAAGGATCTGAAATAGCAAAATGACTCAGCATCACACTTGTTGAAAATGGAAACATTTGTTTTGCCACAGATCAAGAACAGTACAGGCATCAGCAGTGAAGGCTCCTTCAAGTTTTATCAAGGGATGTAGGGCTGATAAACTCCTTCCCTTTTCTCCCTTCCCTCCTTTCTTGACTAACATTGATATGCATTTACTTACCATGTTGTCTAATGGAAGAACACAGTGGATCTCCACGCTACAGGCTTTTCTCCCTAGGTCTGTCTTGTTTTTAAAGTGGCTGCTTCTGGATTTAGTTTTTCATAATTTTTAACCTCTGCTGTCTATCTGTGAGTAAATTTTGGAGTCATTCAACATCTAATTTCCATGTTTATCTTCCTAGCAAAAGACACCAGTGTAGCCAATGTGTTTTGGTGGGTTCTTTTAACTTCATGGTGTTGACCTGTCCTGAGAAAGCTCCCCCTTAATGTATTTGGATGTTAGTGCTTGAACAGCCTGAAAGCATCAATAAACTTCTGATAATTACTTTCAGAATGCTAAATTAATTAGTCTTCTAGAGTTGGTATGATAGTAATAATACTCACTACTCATTTACAGGAAAGAGTAGTTAGGTGAGTAGCCCAAGTGCACAGAGTATGTGTTGCAGAGTCAGGGATAAGAGGCCAGATTTGTGACTGGGTTCTTACCTCATTGTTCCATGTCACTCATCACCTACTAAAGCTGAATTTGAACCAGTGACCTAGATGTGAAAGGACCCATAACACATTATTAGTTCTGTTAGCAACTCAGACTGCTTGGTTTGTATATGTCTAATATGTTGTTTTAATCCTATCTGAAATCAGGGTCCCTTCACTATAAATGGTTTGCTAAAAGGGTAATCTTTCTTAGATAGAGGCAGAAATGAAAATTTCAAACTAAATGTGCTATTAGAAAGAAGTGGAATGTTATAATGTCCTTTGTTTTTGCTTCTGATTGTGCTCGAGAATTGCTTGGGTTATGTGTTAGATTAGGCAAGAAACCAAGGAAGCTGTTCATCTGATGTGTGACAGAAAGTTAATCTGATGAACAAGCTGAAAGAACATTGTCAAGCTGTTTCAGGCTCAGAGTTTGTCTTCTGTAAAGTTGTAATCTAGTGCATGAAAACTTGTGTCCTAAAAATATGTTAGATTTTTATGAGAACATTAATGGATTTATAAAAGCAATGCTGGCTGTAAAATCGCATCACTTATGTAGCAATGTAAGAATTCATGAACTGTTTGTTGGTATTTCTTGTAGGAAATGGTTATTAATGGTCCAGCTAAATTCCCAGATCTGTGCATACTTCTGCTTCCAGACAGACAAAAAAATTGCATAGTTTGCCACAAATAAAATAATAAATAAAATACTGAACTTTCTCTACTTACAGTATGACTCCTTGCATTCATTTGGCCTTTACATACTTGTCAGATTATCAACTTAAGGACTTAGGACTTAAAATATTTTTCTCTAGCTCCAAAGTCCTCAGACATCTGATGCTGTCACTTCTTCCGTAGGAACCAAGCTCAGTTTTTATTTGTAACTTCACCATTTTTACATAGCCATCTCTCAAACCGTGTCTTCAGACGGGATAGTCTGGCAGATGATGGTGGATGTTGCTCTTTCCCTTCCATTCTGGCTTTGTGAATAGCCTCTGTTTAGTTCTTCTAGTCAAAGACAACTTGGAGAAGCCTAAAGTTATTTTACATTGCTAGGGTGGTCAGACAAGCCCAGGAGTACCCTAAGAACTAATGCTTTATCATTTAAGTACAAAAAATAGCTCTTACCCAATTAAAATATCTTACTTTGAAAAAAAAGTTCCAGCTGCATTAGGCTTCATTAATAGTAGAAATATTTTGTATGACTGTTAGTGGGTTTTCCTAAACACATTACCTGTATCTATGACTGTACTATTTGTGCTTTTTTTGTGAAGTTCACATGACTAAATTTTACCCAATATAAAAAGTGTTTAGAAACTAATTCTAAGCCTGTGTATTTTGGCGCTAGGTGGAAGGGAAATTTGTGTTTCATTTGTGTGCTGCAAAGAGATAGGACAAGATAAACTATTTGAGGTACCTTCTAGTCCACCAGTGCCTATGCTATTATTGTATTTACCAGCTGCAAGCTCTAACTTCCTCTAACAGACATCAAAGCCAAACTCCATCTTTCATGGAAAAAATTCAGGGGCGTGTTGGTATGACCAAGAACAGTATCCTCCTCCCACCCTGCACAAAGTGTCAAGCAAAAAAAAAAAAAAAACAAATGGAATGCTGTTGCTGTCTTAGGCTTCTTCAGTCTCAGCCAGTACTTTCAAATATTTGTTTGAAAAAGTCAGAATTATTTTGTGTTTAAAATTGTCTCTAAACTTGCACTCTGGGGAGGCCAGTGTTCAGTCTTCTGCCATTTCTGTTCATCAAGTGGTTTGTCAAGCATTGTATATTTTTAGTGCACAGTGTGAGCAATGAGTTTAGTCTGACCTTTTCATCTTTGTTGCTCTGATCTTGAGTTCTTTTAAGCTGTTGAGCAGAAGTAGGCTTTTGTGTTGTGAAGACTGGAGAATACTAAGCTACCATATCTCCCACCCACAGGATTTTCCTACTCTCATGAAATGAAAGGTTTGAAGCTGGAATCTTCAGCTTCTCTTCCTTGCTTTGTCCTTGATCTCTTGACAAATTGTGGTTAAATTGTTTTATTCTTCCAGCCTCAGTTTACGTTTTTTTAAATTTGGGGCTTTATTTTTATTCCGCATTTTTTTTTCCTTAATCACATTATCACTAGGTTGGAAGAGACCTTCAAGATTGAGTCCAACCCAGCCCTAACACCTTAACAAACCGTGGCACTGAATGCCACATCCAGTCTTTTTTTAGACACTTGCAGGGATGGTGACTCCACTATCTCCCTGGGCAGACCAATCCAGTACTTTATCACTCTTTCTGTGAAAAACTTCTTCTTGATATCCAACCTACATTTCCCCTGATGCAGCTTGAGACGGTGACCTCTGGTTCTGTCAGTGCTGCCTGGAGAAAGAGACCAACCTCCACCTGACTACAGCCACTTTTCAGGCAATTGTAGAAAGCAAGAAGATCACCTCTGAGTCTCCTTTTCTCCAGGCTAAACACCCCCAGCTCCCTCAGTTGTTCCTCACAGGGCTTGTGTTCCAAGCCACTCACCAGGCTCATTGCCTCCTCTGGATGCAG